AAAGAAAGAAGGAAGGAAGGAAGGAAGGAAGGAAGGAAGGAAGGAAGGAAGGAAAGAAAGAAGGAAGGAAGGAAGGAAGGAAGGAAGGAAGGAGGAAGGAAGGAAGGAAGGAAGGAAGGAAGGAAGGAAGGAAGAGGAGAGGAGAGGAGAGGAGAGGAGAGAAGAGAATCAATCCACTTTGGAAAAAGCAAAGCCAACTGAGGGAAAAGGGAGAGATTTACAAGCTGAGCCATGCTGGCTGAGGAATTCTGGGAGTTGAAGTCCACCAGTCATGAAGGGGCCAAAGTTTCCCTCATGCTGGCTCAGGAATTCTGGGAGTTGAAGTCCACCAGTCATGAGGGGGCCATAGTTCCCCCATGCTGGCTCAGGAATTCTGGGAGTTGAAGTCCACCAGTCATGAGGGGGCCATAGTTCCCCCATGCTGGCTGAGGAATTCTGGGAGTTGAAGTCCACCAGTCATGAAGGGGCCAAAGTTTCCCTCATGCTGGCTCAGGAATTCTGGGAGTTGAAGTCCACCAGTCATGAGGGGGCCATAGTTGCCCCATGCTAGCTGAGGAATTCTGGGAGTTGAAGTCCACCAGTCATGAAGGGGCCAAGGTTGCCTACCCCTGCCTTATACACCGCTTCACAGTGCTTTGCAGCCCTCTCTAAGCAGTTTACAGAGTCAGTCTGTTGCCCCCAACAATCTGGGTCCTCATTTTACTGACCTTGGAAGGACAGAAGGCTGAGTCAACCTTGAGCCGGTGAGAATCGAACCGCTGGCAGTGTGCAGAGTCAGTCTGCAACGCTGCATTCTAACCCCCGGGCCAACAGGGCTCTTATTATATAAGATATAACTGAATAAATAATCTTGGACCAGTCTTTCTCAACCTGGGCAACTTTAAGATAGGTGGACTTCAACTCCCAGAATTCTTCAGCCAGCGGATGCATACAATGTGGGGGGGGGGGGGAAAGGGGAGAAAGAGGGAGAGGGCAGGGATGTGGGGAAGGGGAAACACAGCTCAGGAACAGTTTGAGGGGTCAGCAGCATCCTAAACAAACAGGGTTCAAGACAGAGGTCCCCAACCTTTTTGGCTTTGTGGACTGGCGAGTGGGGGGGGGGAGGAGAAGAGGAAATGGTTCCGTGTGCGAATGCTGGCTTCATGCCCACCATTTCCGCAGCCTGATTCCGCACAAGCTGCAGCCCGGCACGGGGGTCACAGCCCAGGGGTCAGGGACCCTTGTGCTAACTATAGCCTACAGGAAGAAAGCCGAAATCGGTCTTACATTTTGCCGATGATCTTGAGGAAGAGGCTGCAGTCCTGGAGCTGAGATAGGGAAGTGACGGCATCGCCCAGCTTCAGACTGTTCACCTGCGGAGAAGGAGAGCCGGGTCAGAGGCTGCCAGGCCAGCCACGTGCCAGGCAAGGGGCAGAATTCCCGGGGTGTGTGTGTGTGTCCTGCCCGGCGTCGCTCTGAAACGCTGGTCAATGAGGCAGGTTGCAGTTTGCCAAGACGGAGCAACTATGCCAGAGAAACATGTGGGAAGGGGTTCCCAAGGACCATAAATTCTGGCCCGTGCTCAGAAAGAACATTTTTTCCCTTTTAAGTTCTCCTTAGGCCATTAAGTGAGATTTTAAAGAGATTTTAAACTCTTCCATTATAGGCCACATAAAAAAAACCATTTTTAAGTCTAATTCTAGCTTTCTTTTTGTGCCAAGCAGGCTTCCATAGCAATGCCTCTTAAAAGATACTAATTGATTTAATATTTAGGATCTAAATCAGGGGTAGTCAACCTTGACTCTTTTATGACTTGTGGACTTCAATTCCCAGAATTCCTGAGCCAGCTAAGCTTCTGGGAATTGAAGTCCACGAGTCATAAAAGAGCCAAGGTTGACTACCCCTGCAATAAACCCATAAACCTGAAGAGTCACCAGTTGGGGCAGACGCATCCCATCACGTCTCACCAAGGGTAACTGTTAAGAGGTGTGGACTTCAACTCCCAGAATTCCTCGGCCAGCCATTTTGGCTGGCTCAGGAATTCTGGGAATTGAAGTCCACGGGCCGTCAAGGGGCCCTGGGTCGCCCACCCCTTCCCCAGCTTGAAGGAGACCACAACCCAAGGGGTTTTTCTCAACCGTAATGAAGGGGCTACCTTACCCAGGCCAGGAGTGCCGAGATTCTGGTGTTGTGAAGCGACGACATCTTTGTGTCTTTCCCAGGTTACATTCAAGCCTAAAGAAGCAGGAGAGAGAAGAAAGAATCCATTAAGGGCAGGAAAAAAGGAAGTTTCCGCCCCACCTAGGAAGCTGGGCAGAGGAAGGCATGAAAGGCAGCAAAACCACAGGGTGAAAAAGGAGGGGCTCCTATGGAAACTCATCAAGGAGAGAAGCAACCTGGAACTAAGGAGAAACTGCCTGACAGTGAGGACAATTAACCAGTGGAACTCCTTGCCTCCAGAAGCAGTGAATGCTCCAACACTGGAGGTTTTTAAGAAGAAACTGGACAGCCACCTGTCTGAAATGGTATAGGGTTTCCTGCCGGAGCAGGGGGTTGGACTAGATGACCTCCAAGGTCCCTTCCAACTTTATTATTATTATTATTATTATTATTATTATTATTATTATTATTATTATTATTATTATTATTATTATTATTATTATTATTATTATTATTATTATTTACAACCTGGCCTTGCTTTAAACAAGCGTTTGGATCACGTAGTACAGGTACTCCTCAACTTACGAACACCCGCTTAGTGACTGGGATCTGTGACATTTTCGCCGGAAAGTGGCACGCGCTTCTGGTTCCCAGCAAAACCAGCCCTACGGCAGGGTCCCCAACCTATGCTCCACCGCCCATTGCAGGGCTGTGGCCTACTGGCCACAGGACATTCAACTCCACTTGCGCTAGATTTGTTCGTGCCTGTGGGTAGGCGCTAGCAGAGGCAGTGCCCAGCACTAGCACCGTGCGGGTTGCGTGGCCCATTTGCGCCTGTCCACAGCGCTAGAAAAGGCAGCGCTGCAAAAATGGAGTCACTAGCACCGTGCGGGTTGCGTGGCCCATTTGCGCCTGTCCACAGCGCTAGAAAAGGCAGCGCTGCAAAAATGGAGTCACTAGCACCGTGCGGGTTGCGTGGCCCATTTGCGCCTGTCCACAGCGCTAGAAAAGGCAGCACTGCAAAAATGGAGTCACTAGCACCGTGCGGGTTGTGTGGCCCATTTGCGCCTGCGCGCAGCGCTAGCAGAGGCGGCGCCTAGCGCCTGCGGAAACAGGTCCGTTAGCACTGTGCGGGTTGCACGGCCCATTTGCGCCTGTGCGCTGTGCTAGCAGAAGTGGTGCCTAACCCCTGTGGAAACATAGCCACTAGGACTGTGCGGGTGCGCATGGCCCCATTCACGCAAGGCCCTGTTTGCGTGCATGCGCAAATTTTACAGCTGTTCTCTTTCCCTCCAGGCCAGCAGCATGAAAAGGTGGGTGGCCTCTGCCCTATGGGCTTGCTTAATGAGCATCCAAACATGGGGGGGGGGAGTTCCCCACAGCAAATTAGCCTAAGTCACCAACACACACACACAAAGACACACACACACACACACACACAGACAGAGGTTTCCCAACTGCTGCTGCTGCTGCGTTCAGGCCTTTGATCCAGCTACACCCACTTGCAATGGCTCAAGACCAGGGATTTTCAAACTTGGCCCTTTGATGACTTGTGGACTTCAACTCCCAGAATTCCTCAGCCAGCATGTCTAGCTGAGGAATTCTGGGAATTGAAGTCCAGGGGTCTTCCAACTTGGCCCTTTGGTGACTTGTGGACTTCAACTCCCAGAATTCCTCAGACTGACGACTGTCGCAGCACCCTGTGGCCACCTTACCAAAACATGGACACTTGGGAACGGGCAACTGTGTATCCGACAGCCGCAGTGCCCATGGGGTCTTGGGATTGTCTTTTGCAGCTTTCCGACAAGCAAGGTTGGTCAACAACCGTGCCACTAACGTAACTGCAGTAACTCCGTTAACAACGGTGGCAAGAAAGGTCGTAAAACGAGGCAAAAACTCATTTAAGGACCGTCTTGCTTAGCGATGGAAATTTTGGGCGCGGCGGCGGACAAGAGGTCGAGGACGGCCCGCATCGGCTGACATGTTTCTTTGCTATTTTATTTTATTTGTTAAATGCAGAAATGAACAAACGCCCAAATGCAGGCGTATTTCACAACCTCCCGGTGTGCGGCTTGCAACCGCTTTGCTCTTGTTGCTCCAGAACCACCAGGAAGCTTGAGAAACCTCAACCCAAATAATTGCAGCTCCACCTAGGCGTGAAAGTTTTCATCAGCCTTGGGCCGGTCACCACCCCATGATCTAGCCATAAAGTCACAACGCACATCGCACAACAGCAGCGACAGCGACAGCAACTCAGCGGCGAGGGATTCCCCAGCTCTACACAATTCTTACTCAGCTCAGCAGGATATGCAACCAGAGGCCAGGAAAGGGGGAGGCAGACTTGCTAGCGGCTACAGAAGAATGTACACAAACACACACACACACACACACACACACACACAGAGGGAGCACGCCCACAGAAAAACCGCTTGGAAACACCCACAAGATTTAAAGACGCACGTTTCATGAAAGGGCTGCATTTTCTCGCCAGCCGGAGATTTTTAAGCGGTTCCAGCCACGATCTTCACAACTCCCAAGTATGTATGGTTGGAGTAGGGGGAGTGGGAGAAAGAGGGAGGTACTAAGTATTAGCCCTGCTTTATAAAGCCTTAGTAAGGCCACCCCTGGAACACGGCATCCAGTTCTGGTCACCACCACGTTACAAAAAAAGACGTTGAGGCTTTGGAAAGAAGTGCAGAGAAGAGCAACTAAGATGACTGAAGACCTGGAGACGAGAACATACGAAGAACGGTTGCGGGATTTGAGAATGGCCAGTCTGGAGTAAAGAAGGACTTTAGGGGTTACTTAAGGGGCTGCCATAGAAAAGGGGGGGTGTCCACCTATTCTCCAAAGCACCAGAAGCCAAGGCAAGAAGCAACAGATAAAAACTAATCAAGGAGAGAAGCAACCTGGAACTAAGGCAGTTGACACTTTAGCCCCGAAAGCAAATAACTACCAGCACATTAAAAAAAAACAAAGTTCTCCAAAATACTACAGTCTACACCAGGGGTAGTCAACCTTGGCTCTTTTATGACTCGTGGACTTCAACTCCCAGAATTCCTGAGCCAGCTATGCTGGCTCAGGAATTCTGGGAGTTGAAGTCCACGAGTCATAAAAGAGCCAAGGTTGACTACCCCTGGGTCTACACAATAGTGTTTGTCAACCTCAACAACTTTAAAATCCGCAGACTTCAATTCTCAGAGTTCTGGGAGTTGAAGTCCACTCATCTGAAAACGGCCCACGAGTTATCAAGTCGCAATTCGTTTTGCAAAAAAAAAAAAAAAAAAGCTGTAGTAAACTTAATTCCAAATTAGGAGGGATTTGTGCTGCTGTTCCTCCCTTTGATCTGGCCAAGGGGTTTTGGGTGGGTTCCACCACCCTGCCATTAAAAAAAAAAAAGTAATCAAAATAGTAATCTTTATTTTCAGCTATAGCTTTTCTGCAAAAGTTAAGGCTTCCAAAGGCGATCTAAGATCCTACACCTGGCGGGTGCGCACGGCTCGGATTTTCTGAGCTGCAACCCACCACGTGCACGTGAGCTGCCCAAATGCGTCACCCACGGCGGAGCTTGTGCACGCGGGGTTAGCGTGACGGGGCCTTCTTGTTCATTACGACATGCAAATCCTTTTCTAGTCAACGGGCAGGCATGCGGAGGTGTTGACAAAGGTCTGCTGGCACCGGCACTCCCATCCTGAACAACAGGATTCCCCCCCCCAAAAAAAACACAACTGAAGGCGGTTTAATTTTCTTTCCGGTGTAATTTTACATCGACTCATCCAGCATGACAGACAGCCTGAAGCTCTTCCCCTCCCGTGGACTCTGACCTCCATTAGCTTTGGCCACCATCCCAAGGTCTCCAAGGACGAGCCACTCCTTGGCAAAACTGCACCCAGAACTCACTAGGATTAAGGACCGTCTGGTTCCTTGCGCCGTATAAATTCAATAATAAGTAGATGGTTAAATAAATAAATAGAGTCATCGCAGAGGTATAAAATGCAAGGGCTGGAAGGTCCACGCATTGCACCGGCTCGCCCGTTAGGAGAATCCACTGAGATCAAGCCAGGAGAGTCTCCCTTGCATTTTTAAAATAGTAAATAGTAATATAAACAGCAGCATAATCAAGGGATTACCAAGAGGAAAAAACCACTCCCACCAACATTGGCAGGGCCAGCTACTGTATATAAACAGAGGAAAGACCCCCCCTCCCTTCTAACACTGATGGGGTTCCCTAGTTGGGTCATGAAACGTCTGCAAGGAAACCACCAAGCTCAGAGAGCACCAAGGACCCCACAGTCTTTCTTTCTTTTCTTTCCTTTCCTTTCCTTTCCTCTTTCTTTCTTTCTTTCTTTCCTTCCTTCCTTTCTTTTTCTTTCTTTCTTTGTTTCTCTTCTTTTTCTTCTTTCTTTCTTTCCTTCCTTCCTTCCTTCCTCCTCCCTTCTAGCACTGATGATGTTACTTAGTTGGGTCATGAAACGTCTGCAAGAAAACCACCCAGCTCAGAGAGCACCAAGGACCCCACAGTCCTTCCTTCCTTCCTTCCTTCCTTCCTTCCTTCCTTCCTTCCTTCCTTCCTTCCTTCCTTCCTTCCTTCCTTCCTTCTAGCACTGATGATGTTCCCTAGTTGGGTCATGAAACGTCTGCAAGAAAACCACCAAGCTCAGAGAGCACCCAGGAGCCCTACAGTCTGAGGAATTCTGGGAGTTGAAGTCCCCAAGTCTTAAAGTGGCCACGGTTGAGGACCCCTGCAGTAGAGAGAGAGAGAGGTCCAGCCCTACTTAGATCCAGTCCTATAAAGAGCTGGATTTTAACACAGCAGACAAAACTGGACGGCTTAGGACAGCGGTGTCCAACCTGGACAACTTTAAGACTTGTGGACTTCAACTCCCAGAATTCCCCAACCAGCCTATAGCAGAGCTGGGGAATTCTGGGCGCTGGAAGTTCACAAGTCTTAAAGTTGCCCAGGTGGAAGAGCCATGCTATATAAGACATGTGGGACTTCAACGCCCAGAATTCCCCAGCTCTGCTCTGGTGGCTGGGGAACTCTGGGAATTGAAGTCCACGAGTCTTAAAAGTTGCCCAGACTAGACACCCCTGGCTTAGCAAAGCTGAATGCAGACTCAAAGGCAGAATCCCCACATTACACTAAGCCAGTGGTTCTCAACCTTTTTAATGCCGCGACCCCAACCGGTCGTAGGTCGAGGACTAAACCGGTCGTATGTTGAGGACTAAACCGGTCGTATGTTGAGGACTAAACCGGTCGTAAGTCGAGGACTTTCCCTGCCCGGGAGCGTCGCACATGCGTGGTTCTGCCCCCTGCGCCGGCCGAGGCGTAGCTGGCAAGCGGCAGAGACGGAGCAGGCCGACCACCAGCTGGCCCAGCCCAAGGGAGGTAAGGCACCCGCCGGAAAAGGGGGAAAAATGGCGGACAAAAAAATGGCGGACAGCCTTGCTTGGCGACCCCCGTGAAATGGTCGATCGACCCCAAATGGGGTCCCGACCCACAGGTTGAGAACCACTGCACTAAGCCACCGGCAATCGGGGCGGGTCACACATCAATCAACGGCTCGGTTGCTCAGTAATTTACAAAAACCTCCAGACCCACAATCGGATTAGCTGCTGCCCTGCGCATTCAGCTGTTCAATCACCGAGGCGTGAACGAGGGTCACCGGATCTCCCTTGATCCGGAAAACTTGCAAGGGGGAGGGGGGGGCTGCCGCTGCTCAAGATGCGCTTGCATAGATATTTTAGGGATAAAGCGGCAGAGGATATGAATGAGCAGAGGGGTGGGTGGGGAATTCTGGGTGTTGAAGTCCACAAGTCTTAAAGCTGACCAGATTGGATAGCCCTGCAGAAACAGGACGGTTCTGGTTCCCTGGTTCTTCTGGGCTATTGGACGATTCCAATAAAGGAGAATCTCTGTAGCTCAAAGCTGAAATGAGGGTCCTTGGTGCTCTCTGGGCTTGGTGGTTTTCTTGCAGACGTTTCGTAACAATAACAATAATAATAATAACAACAATAAAGGTTGGAAGGGACCTTGGAGGTCATCTAGTCCAACCCGCTGCTCAGGCAGGAAACCCTATACCATTTCGGACAAATGGCTGTCCAGTCTCTTCTTAAAAACTTCCAGTGTTGGAGCATTCACCACTTCTGGAGGCAGGTGGTTCCACGGGTTAATTGTTCTCACCATCAGGAAGTTTCTCCTTAGTTCCAGGTTGCTTCTCTCCTTGATGAGTTTCCATCCGTTGCTTCTTGTCCTGCCTTTTTCAGGNAAAAAGAGGAATTGTCGGTGCAGCACAACGTTCGGGAACCACACACCCAGCTATGTTTGCAATCCGAACTCCGCAAACCAAGCAAATCAAGAAATTCTAAAACCATCTGGCGTTCCGCGGATTCCCTAGTGACCCAGTGTTTCTCAACCTTGACAATTTTAAGGCATGTGGACTTCAACTCCCAGAATTCCACAGCCAGCATTGCTGGCTGTGGAATTCTGGGAGTTGAAGTCCACATGCCTTAAAATTGTCAAGGTTGAGAAACACTGCCCTAAGTCAAAGGCTTGAACGGCTCTGCCTGGCTCTATTTCCTTTCTGGGTTTATTTACTAAGTTCCTCCACCACGGCAATCAAAATTAATTCCCAGTGGGTCAATTAAAAGGAAAAGCAAAAAACAATACACCACCCCAGGCAGCAACGAAAACCAGCTCTAAGTCTCAAAGTGCTGGGCGGACAGTCTCTCTGTAAGCAGGCTGCTCTAGGCACCCCTCTCGCTGCTCCTTGGGGTGGTCCCGGCCCCCAACCAGGGGGAATGAACCCAGGGCTTTTAAAGACAAGGCCGGGCAGTCCTTGACTTACGACAACCGATCTCCAAATTTGCTGCTAAGTAAGACATTCATTAATTGCCCCGTTTTACGACCTTTCTTCCCACGGTCGTTAAGCGAGTCACCGCTGTTGTTAGAGCTAGTCGTAACGGTTGTGAAGTGAATCTGGCCTCCCGATTGGTGGAAGGTGGCCAAAGGGGGGGGTCACATGACCCAGGATGCTGCAACAGTCGTAAGTACATGCCAGTTTCCAAGCGTCGGAATTTTGACCAGGTGGCCGTGGGGATGCTGCGACGGTCAGTAAGTGTGAAAAACGGTCAAAGGTCACTTTTTTTAGAGCCACGGCGAAACAGGTGGCAAATAAATGAAATCATAATAATGTTTTGCTTTGATTTTGAAGCCAAATCTCTCAACTGGATTGTTCCAATGAAACGTTTCGAATAGTAAACGGCACGCGTGGGGAACAAAACTCAAAACCAGCTGAAGTGTCCTTTCTTTTGTTTAAAAGGACAAAACCTGGGGTATTTTGCATGTTTGAGAAATGAAAAAAATAACAAGAACCTAAAAGCAAAATTTTGCCCCCGTGTTTCGATCCCGGGAAGCCAAGAAAAGAATGGAAAGCAGTTGTCAGGGTCAGCTACTGGATAGCAAGGTTCCAAAAAAAGACAAAATAAAATATTTGTGAAAATTCTCATTATGAAAGCAACTTTTTCCACTTTCCCCTAATGCTTCCTTCTCTGAATTCAGAGATATTCTACTATTCTGTCCTGGAGGCCTGAGAAGACGAAGACGAAGACGAAAAAGAAAAAGAAGAAAAAGAAAAAAAAGAAAAGAAAAAAAGAGAAAGAGAAGGAAAAAGGAGGAGGAAGAGGAGGAGAAGAAGAAGAAGAAGAAGATGATGATGATGATGATGATGATGATAATAATAATAATAATAATAATAATAATAATAATAATAATAATAATA